TAACAGTTATGAGATCATATAATTGTGAATGTATCTATGAAATTGATAAAATAAAATAAAATTTAAAAAAAAGAAAAGTAAAGTAAATCTCTAGTATAAAGTAGATAAATTAGAACTATTTTTGTTTAAACACAGAGTTAGAGTTGAATGTAAACAATTTCTTGTCTTAATAAAGATATTCATGTGATGAAATGTGCACCTGCAAAAAAAAAAAAAGAGTATATTCAGGGATGGACTCTGTAAAAAGTGCTTGCTGAGAGTTCCTAATCCCTTTTCTGGCATAAGGACAAATGGCCACTCTCCTTTGTTGTTGCATTTTAACTACAAAGCTGCCTAATTTTGACTTCGCCTCTTGATTCTTTATAGCAGAACATGCTTTTGTATTCTCTGCAACTGATTCATTGATTACATGCCATCAAGTTGTTGTCAATTCTTAATCATTTAGATTTTCTCCATTCTTCTACATAGTACCTTTATTTTTTACATTCTGTTCCCTATATGGTTTATTCTATGTGTTTTCTGAGACTGGCTGAGCCAAAAGGAAGGAAAGGAGAAAGAGGAAGGATAAAAGTGAAAGAATGCAGAGGTCACCTCAATTAACACCCTTCAGGGCTGATAACAGAAACTAAAGGAAACGTTTCGTCTAAAGTGAATTGCATGGCTAGTACAAATAAACAAAAGTCGTTACCGCTTTTGTTTATTAGGCCAGAACAAAGTGTGAGACTATAAGAAGTCAGAATTACCAGGGACAACTGTAACTAAACTGAGAAAAATATAAAAGATGAATGAAAGATGAACCGCATTTTATATTTCAAAAATATAAAGATGAATGCATAAGGAGCTGTGGTGATGCAGTGGTTAGGATGCAGTATTGTAGCCTAATTCTGCCGACTGCCAGCAGTTCGTTCCTGACTGGCTCAAGGTTGACTCAGCCTTCCATCCTTCTGAGGTCGGTAAATGAGGAACCAGATTGTTGGGGGCAATAGGCTGACTCTGTAAAGCGCTTAGAGAGAGCTGTAAAGTATTGTAGGAAGTTATCACTCAGCCCTCTCCCAGAAAAATGAAATATCCTATATTTCTCTGGATGTGAAAAGGAAGAAAGGTGTTTCAAAAAGACAAAGTAACTCTCCCTGCAGCTTCCTGCCCCCACCTTTTGTCAATGAGCCATTAAAGCCTGAGCTAGTCCACTTTACATAATAAAAGGGTTCTCCCCTTCAGCTCCAGGGGGATGGGATTAAGGCATGATAATATTGGCCCTTTACTCAACTGACCACATGGCATCTGAGAACTCAACCAAACNGAGAGAGAGAGAGAGAGAGAGAGAGGGAGAGGGAGAGGGAGAGGGAGAGGGAGAGAAGGAGAGAGGTGAGTTGCTGCCGGTTCGCCTAATTCGGCCGAACCAGTAGTGGAATTCAGGTCGGGGTTGCAGAACAGCAGCGACCCAGGCCTGCCACGCCCCCAAATTGGTTCCCTTGCTGCCGCCTGGCTGCCACCATTTTGGATTTTAGTGACTGCGCAGTTTGCGAACCGGCAGTAATGCCAGCAGCTACCCACCCCTGGTGTGTGTGCGTGTAGGATCAACACGCAACCTAGATCACTTGTGTGCACAGTTTACAATAGGGATTACACTCCTGGGAGAATATAATGCCTGATGATCAGAGATAGAGCTGATGTGGTGATATTCTAACACTAGGGAGTGGCTGCAACTACAGATGAAGCTTCCCTCAATCGCCGGCCCGCCACTTCCAGCTCTTTGACACAGTTCCTAACAGCCCACGGACTGATTTCGGTCTGTGGCTCGGAGATTGGGAAAGCCCTGGTATAGGGTCTCCAGCTTGAGCAGGAGGTGGAACTAGAAGACCTCCAAGGTACCTTCCAACTCTGTTATTCTGTTACATTTTATCTCTGCTAATATATGGCAATTCTGGTGCTAAATTTTATCTCCATTAGTACATAGAATAGAATAAGATATAATTCTTTATTGGCCAAGTGTGATTGGACATACAAGGAATTTGTCTTTGGTGCATATGCTCTCAGTGCGCATAAAAAGACAAGATACAGTCGTCAAGAATCATAAAGTACAACACTGCCAATATGACAATTCTAGAACTATATTTTATCTAATAAAGCACAACTTGTAAGAATAACTGAGATTTGCACCTTTCCCGTCACCAAAATGAACATTATTAAGCCCATTTCATGATGCACACTTCTCAGTAAAATGAACTGACCTTTAAGTATACCCATCACAATCAATAGGAAGAAGGTTTAAAAAAAAAAAAGCAAACAGTTCAAGTGCTTCTAATTGTGCTGTTCAGGCCAAAGCTTAAATTACAGATTTTTAAAAGGACTACCAAAAGTGTATACTAAGAAGATTCTTGCGTAAGAAGAGGCGAGATGAGCAATGGGAGATGAAAATATGTAAAGAGCTTTATCTATTTTTGTATCTTGTATTTTGTAAATCTTGCCTTTTTTATATAACTTTCAAATAAGGAAGAAAAAAAAGAGAGAGAACCAGGTCATCCCCTGAAGAGGAGAATATGTAAA